ATTGAATATTCAACTCTAAACATATTGCCACCAATTTAATTGAAAGCAAAATCAAAGATAAATGCATTTTTTGTTGTTTTCTTTTTGTAAATAAACCACTCTTTTGACAAGGGTTATGTTACGTGTTACCCTTTGCTGATACATGTCGAACTAAATATTTGGAGTAATCATCAACGATATTAGAATTAGCATAGTACATACTTTCTCAAATACATTGTAATCAAACCCTCGCATCCATCAGACCAAGCTAATGTCGAATTTTAGAAAGCTGAATACACGCAATTACTCAGTATTTGTTAACAGTGTTTCGAAAAGTTCGCTTTGAAGGGTATTGGCCCGTAAGATTTAATGTGAAAGTCCCGCGTGTTCTCCAGACAGGAAACAAGGATGCTCCAAAGACAAGCGCCTCCCGCCGGGCTTGTGTAAACGTCGACATTATTTTTATGGAGTCCAGTTCGGGGCCGGGGGTCAATAGTGACCATTTTGGGAAATTTCTCCTCACATACTTCATTTTAACTCATAAAACGATGTGATGCAATTGATAAGTTACGTTAGTTGTACATCTAAATTGGGTGTTTTCGGAAATTTAATTAAGTTTAATACCTAATAGTTGAGTGCGATTATATTGTTGAAATTAGCAAGCTGGTGTAAATTAATTTCCGATTGAGGTTTTGGGAATAGTATATTTCATAACTAGGACCGAAAGTGGCATTTTCCGTCGCGCGCTCAAGTTTTTGTGTGAGGCGAAGCCGAACACAGGGAACCCCAACTTCACGTGCGAGGCGAAGCCGAGTATGTGAGAGCTATTTTCACGTACGAGGCGAAGCCGAGGACGGGAATAATGGAGCAAGTGCCGGATAATAACTTTTCGGTACGAGTAATGAACGATACTTTTCATCACGACACAAAAATACACAAACACAGATTAGCAAACCTCAGTAATATTACAACTATTTTATTTCTCAATTAATTTGATTGAACATCAAAATAAAATAAAATCTTCTAAAAGGAAACCTACGTATATTTCTCAATAAATTTTGTTTAAACATGAAAATAAAAGAATAAAACAACTTTTAACAATACATGCACAGCTGATTCAAATCATTAAATTAAACCGTAACAAAACACTACTGTAGCGCGCGTAGAGAATAAATGGAGAACTAATTGAGAGCGAGGGAAAGTAAATTTAGAGCGAGGGAAAATCAGCTGATCGATTTTCCCTCGCCCTAAATTAGAGCTTGGGAAACGACTACTTTCATTGATGTCAGCTGTTATCGAAAATAGTTACTTTCGTTACGGAGTGATGAAAAAATTGTTGTTACCTTTGCCATTCACTATTGCACATATTTCACTTTCTTTAGCTGATCAATATTTGTGTTTAGCCACATACTGTATTAATCTTGCATCATTAGATTATTCTTAGTTACTGAATCCTCAATTACTAAACATCGTAATAATGGTTGAATAGAAAGCATCTTACTATCTACAGGAGACATGAACTTCAGTTCATGAAATCTTCAATAATAAAGTGGCAATCTAACCGCTTTATACTGTATATAAAACGTGTACAGAGTAGGTCTGTGTTGAGTTTTGAATTATATTTAACAAAAGTAAGTGTTGGAACAGTAAAATACTGTATTTATCGATCCGTTTCATTCAAGCACAGGCCATCCAATTTGACCTTTTAAAATACCTATAAAATTATCTTTCTAGTGAAGGTTTATTTTTCGCAAGTGAAAGACTTGGTTAAGAGCCAATTGCTTATACAAAGTAGGCCTATGAGCCATACCAATAACCATATTGAAGCAATTTTCCTTTCGTTCAGCTTGTTAAATGGAGTTCACTTATTTTGCTAAGGGCTAATTTCTCTTAAATGTTATTTCAATCACGTCTTGATTGGTTTTGAGGTTGGGTTAAATAGGTACGACTGGTGTGAGTGGGTTGTTGCTTAAAAATCTGCAAGTGCGTTTAATGGTAGTGTTTATCGCTTTTACATCAAAACATTTAGTAAGTGTTGTATCACAAAAAATATTTACTCTTCTTAGTATGAACACAAAAATTTATACATTTTTGAGTTTTTCTTTTTCACTGTATTCAGAATTGTCAAGGCTAATACAGGTATAAAGATATATTGTTCGTGGAATTATTGCTTGGTTCATAAAAAAATCCAAATCTATGCTTCATTTTCTAATCTAGTTTGTAAAGCAAGTTTAAACTTCCTTCTTATAGAAAATCATTTTCTAAAGTAAATTAATACGCGTTATTCCGGAAATTATTCAACATATTTGATTCAACATTTACTCCATTCATGATATCAATTTAATAGGGTTCAGCTCATAGCTTTTAAAAGTAGGTTGATTCAATTTTCACCCTTAAAATTTACATTTAAAAGTCATAACAGTTAAAGTCATGAAACCCCCTGAGTGGCAGAGAATATAACCTTCATTATTAGACTAAACTATTACGTAACTCGTCTTGCAGTTCAAAATAGTGTTTGAAGTCCACTACATATGTTTCGCCAAATATAGCATTCTCAAGTGGTTACAAAAACATTTTATCCAAATTGGATAAAATGTTTTGGAAAAGTTCCTATCAAAGAAATTACTCAATGTCACAGCCACAAGATACCTTGGTCATTTACACTCGTGTCTTAAACGTGCACCTTGGTTTTACCTCATAAATCCCCTTTCTTATGAACATCGCTGAAATTCTTTAGGGAAGCTGTGGTGTTTATTATTGTGATCGTACTGTATGTACTTTACTAAGCAACATCGTTGTCCTGCAGGGTTCACTCTGCGTTGCTGTGGCGGACCGACTCAGAAGCAGGGCGGAAGGTGCATCTTGACTAATATGGCGTTTTAAAAGACGTCTTAAATACAACTATTTGAATATACCAAAGCCTTAAATAATTAAGGTCCAACTTCTAACATGTACTAATATTTAAAAAAATCCTTTGGATTACTCTGGCAGATCCAGGTAACATTATACCTTTTATAATCTAAAAACAGTAATCCTGAGACAAGAAACAACATGAAAATAAATCCAGTTACTCAAAGTTAAAAGTATTATGATTTATCATCTATATTTAGATGAATTGTTAAAACAATAATTTTAATTTACCACGTGTATATTTTTGGTAAAGGTACGAAATGTTTAATAATGATTTTCTGCAAGGAGTTTGAAGTATCCAGTAATTTCCAATTTTCGTTTGATTCCAGTCTAGTAAACGTATAGTGAATTTTATTTTGATAAACTTTTGTACGGCATATCCATCAATTCTGCAGTTTGAATATGCTGTGTTTTTTGTTTTTTTTTTTATCTTGTGACCCTTATCAGACTTATAAAATAGCTTCAGCAAGTAGGCCTAATTACAGTAATTTCGTATCACTAATTTACCAGGATTGACATGTACGTATTGTTCTATTTGAAGCATTTATGAACATCTTAATATAATTTATAAATAATAGTTTTTATTTTATAAAGGGTGTTTTTTTTTAAAAAAACTTGCATCTTTATTTATGTAAAAACCGCAATAGATATAAATATGCAGTTTGCGGGAATCATCTATTGACGTAGGGGGCCCAATTGTTTTGAATTCAACGTTACATTCACACTCCCCCCCTTTTCCAACTTATTTTTTTTTAAATAGCAAGGTGCCCCTTGTGACATATCAAATAAAAGAACATGAAAAAAGAAAATGTTTGATGGAAAAAATTTAAAAATCTGTTCATAAAATTGTGAGATATTCCTCCCCCCTCCCCGGAATTTAATTTTTTTTAATAGCAAGGTACCCCTTGTGACATATAAAATGAAAGAGCATGAAAAAAAATGTTTGGTGAAATTTATTTTTCATTTGATATATCACAAGGGGTACCTTGCTATTAAAAAAAAGTTATGGGTAGGGGAAAAGGGGGGGATTATCTCACAAATTCATGAGCCGATTTTCAATTTTTTTCACCAAACATTTTCTTTTTTCATGCTCTTTCATTTTATATGTCACAAGGGGTAGCTTGCTATTAAAAAAATTAAGTTCCGGGGAAGGTGGGAGAATATCTCACAAATTTATGAACAGATTTTAATTTTTTCATCAAAACATTTTCTTTTTCATGCTCTTTCATTTGATATGTCACAAGGGGTACCTTGCTATTTTAAAAAATAAGTTGGGGGTAGGGGGGAAAGGGGAGGGAATGTAAATGTAACGTTGAATTCAAAAAATTTGGGCCCCCTACGTCAATAGATGATTCCCGCAAACTGCATATTTCTATCTATTGCGGTTTTTGCATAAATAAAGATGCAAGTTAAAAAAACCCCTGTATATATGCAAAACTCGACTTTGGCTCGTATATGCAAAATGTTATTTTAGATTTATTTTCATGCTTTAAGAGTGGTAAGCTAATTGACGCAATGAATAAAAGGTTGTAAACTCACTTCATTGTGTAATTTACTCAGAATCAATGTAATGTACTTTGTTAATGGCAAATAATACTAGCAATTATATTTTTTACAATCTTTAATATTGCAATTCAAAATATTCAACGATATTTATTTTTTTATGAAATGCATCCAGATCGAGTCCTCTTTGAGATTTGTTATCTAAAAACGGTAATTAAAGCTTTGTGTTCTTTTTTCTCGATGCAACACAAGCTCTATCTCTTTTATCTAATGTTGATAGAATATTCATAAATATAAATATTATACTGTCACCTTACTCCATTCACTTGTATTGATCTGTTACATTCACTTAAATAGTATGAAATTTAATTCTTTTGTATAAATATATGCAACAAATATCTCGTTACTGCTCCCTAGCTGAATGAATGTTGTAAATGAATATTGACCAACAAATTAGTTTTTCATGATTTAAACATTTATCTTGACTTAGTAGCAGTTAAAAACTTTGCACTACAGGAAATTCATTAGGTATGCTAACACTAAGCAAAATACTTACGTAAACCAAATTCTTTATTTACAAACAAAATATTCACACATACCCCAAAAAACACAAACACAGGTCACGTTATAAGATAATCTTCAATGTTTACAGAAGGGGATGGAAGACCATCCAACTCGTCCAGGAGGGAGGTCTGGAGGTCCGCGGCGGTGAGGAAGTGGTGACTGAGATCCTCCTCTAGACTGCTTACCGCAGAATTTGTCAAGGAACTCTTGATAGGAAACGTCGGTACTAGAGTTGAGGATGTCAACTGAGGAGCTTCTACTCTAACACTCGCTTCTTGTTTGTAAGCACACTCGAAAACTCGGTTGAGACAAGACGTACTGGCACGTGGAGAGTAGTCACAGGTAGGCGAAGAAAGAAGAGTAGAAAGGTAAGGAGAGTTGGATGAAGAAGACTCCACGGAAGACGGCGAGAAGAAGTGGTCATAGAGGTCGGCGTGGTCGTTGGTTGATGATGGAGTTGAAGACCCTGTATCTTGAGGAGTTGACCATTCGCTGAGGAAGGAGTCTCCATCAGAGTCCAGATCAGAATCCTGAAGAGCGTTGCTAAGAGCTGTGATATATTTCATAGCCAACCTGAGTGTTGAGATTTTTGTTAACTTTTCACATGGGTTCTCTGTGTTTGAATGAAGGTGGGGAACCGCTCTCCGTAATGCTTCAAAGGCTTCGTTTATTTCTCTCATTCTGAACCGTTCTCTCGCATTTGCTGTTTTTCTCCTGTATTTGCTTAGGGGTAGAGACTTCTGCTTCGGCTTCTTTCTTGTTCGTCCTCGTGGTTTCCAGTTCTCCTCTTCGATGTCGTTTTCTTCTCTTTTGGTGGATGCACGAGGTCTTAAGGAGTACGACTTCTCTAAAGTGGTGTTGTTGTTTGTGTCATGAAGTAAATCCATAACAATCGGTTTTATTCTAAACCCTCGAACTACAGGTAAAAATAAAAGTATAAACTACCTAAAGAACGTTAAAAATATGACACTACCATATTCCACGGTCTGGCTGAATGACCAAATATTACGTCGCGGTTTGAGTTCGTAAAAATGCACGGATGAATAACAGATTCCCTAACAACCTCTCCGGTGCGCGGCCAGCACGCGACTGAAGCTGTTGATCTTGTGGGCATCAGCTGATAACCTGTATAGGCAGCGCCGTCAGATCTGGCGGGGGTTGCCGCAACTTGGCGCGGCTTCTGTCCTACCCAGCGTTCAAGTCTCTCAAACCGTCAATCTTATCTGATTGTGATAGGACCTTTTAACTTCACAACACTTGGTCCACATACATAAGGAAGCTTTTAATCATTAATCGGTGAAAAATAGAAGTGTAAAATTGAGTTGTTCTTTCTCTGAGTTTTAGGGGAAATACGACCTTAGTGAGTGCTTATAAGCATCTCTGTTACCGAAATATCTTATTACAATATTTGCATGCTTTATGTAGTTAGCCTCCGGATCACAGGTATAGTAATAAATAATGGTTTAAATACTTTAAAGCCTACAGTCAAAGTGATCCCTACAATTTGCATAACCTATATTAGGAAATAAAGAAACTACTACTGGCTATTGCTAGATGCAAGACATTCTCTTATATATTTCATTATTCTGTGAAATGTTTCATGACAAAGTGGAAAGGAAAGGTGTAATTTTCAATCCTTTTATTTTGTGATGTCATGGTTTTACAGCATTTGGCTAGTATTGTTTAGTATTTTTACTGTTAATACAAGTATTTATGCGCAAATAATACCTTACCTTACCTAGCTGGCCACACAAACCTAAGCAGGTTTTTGGCCTCTCCAACAGCTCTGCGCCATCTTTCTCGGTCCTTCATCATCTCCTCTGTAACGGACATCCTTCTCATATCCCTCCGGACTTGGTTCCACCATCGCAGCCTTGGGCGTCCTTTGGGGTCTTCTTCCTATAGGTACAGCATCCGTCACTGTTCTCAAGACTGACTCTTCAGGTCTCCTGTAGACATGTCCTGCCCATCGAAATCTTTGGCTTTTAATTAATGTAGTAATATCCGGATCTTTGTAGACCTCACGTAATTCTTTATTTGTTCTAATCCTCCAAATTCCTTCTTCTTCAATTGGGCCATATATAGGCTATGTCTGAGAATTTTGTTTTCGAAAATTATTAGCTTCTTTTCATCTTGTTTGGTTAGTACCCATGTTTCAGATCCGTAGGTAACTATAGGCAGTATAATAGTCTTATAGACTTTTAATTTGGTTTTTCTGGATAAAAGTTTACTTTTCAATAGGTTTTGCAAGGACCAGTAACATCTGTCACCACTGAGCAGTCGTGATCTAATTTCAGTTTCTTCTGTGTTATATTGGTCAATAATTATTCCTAGATACTTAAATTCTGTACATCTTTGGAAGGTGTAGGATTCTACTGTCAGAGGAAGATGTGTTTGTGGTGGATTTCGTCCTACTATTAGATACTTGGTTTATTTTCATTTATTGTTAAGCCTATTTCTTTTGCTTGTTCCTGCTAAAACTTTTAAATCACTTTCATTTTCCACCATGAGAGCAATGTCATCAGCATACGCTAGAATATTTATCTTTCTCCCTATTTCTAGCCCCGGGTTGCATTGGTTAACTTGTCTCAAACTTTCTTCTAAAGCTAGGTTGAACATTAGAGGTGATAGTCCATCCCCTTGACGAACTCCAGTATTTATACTAAATTCTTGACTATATTCATTGTTAATTCTCACTTTGCACTTGGTTTCTTCATTGCATAGCCTTGCCATATTTATTAGTTTTTCAGGTACACCATTTTTTTGCATGTATTTCCACATTTGTTTCTTATTGATACTGTCGTATGCTTTGTTAAAGTCAACAAAAAGTAAATGTGCTGTCTTGTTAAACTCCCAATATTTGGATAAAGCTTGTCTTAAGGTGAAAATTTGATCCGTGGTTGATCTTTGGCTTCTAAAGATGCTTGATGTTCCCCTAAGATTTCTTCAGCATATACTAATTTGTCATTAATTATTCTTGATAGTATTTTTTATGCAGTATTAATTAAGGATATCCCTCTGTAGGACGATTGTTGCTATTTTCCATTCCATTGGAATCTCTTCTTTCTCCCACACATCTAAGATTAACTTATGGAGTTCTTCTATTATAGACTGACCCCCTGCTTTGAGTAGTTCTGCAGGTATGTTGTCTCCTCCCGGAGCTTTATTTTTTTTAAGTTCTTGACTGTATTCCATACTTCTTCAAGAGTAGGAGGGTTTATCATTGGTTGTACATTTTGAAAATGTCCTTCTTCTTCTTCTCTGTTGGCTGTCATATCATATGTGCAAATAATGTATAAATAAATTTCATTTTATTTTGGTAGATGGATTATGCAAGCTCTAAACATCAGCAATTGGATCGTTATTCAATAAGGGACAAGGTTATAAGGATTATGAAAACTTTAGGTTGCTAACCTTAAAATAGTTCCTAAAAAATAAGAGGTACATGCATGTAATTTTTGCTGGAATAATGCTGTCGTGTGAATTTAGCTGTAATAGTTATTGTGTACAGCTCACATACACATGCCAACATCTAATCACCTACACACATGTATTGGCTGGATAACATTTTCTCGAAACGTTTTCTCAAATGAAATCTAAACTAGTCAATGTAATCAACATTATTCTGTAATGGATTTCCTCTATGACTCTTCAACTCGACTCATCGGTGCAGCAGTTAGGCTGCGCCGGTATTGCTCCAACTATTGCTATTAGACTCGTATTAAGTGGCTAATAACTAAAGACAAACGGTCTATAGAGCGGCGGGGTGAGGGGGGTTTGGGGGACCGAACCTATGTTTAAGGTCTATTTAGGGTGATTCGCTCCGGTGATTTCGGACACTTTTAGGGCCACGTTTATTGAATAACAAGTACAATTTGAGGTGGTTAAGGACCGAGGATAATTAATGACAAATGGGAAGTAAATTGATCGTAAAGGTTGACCCGCAGCCTGTGTGGCCGCTACCTGTAACCCAGTGTGAGCTTCTAGGCGACGCTACACGTGATGTGAGATCACTTTGGGGGTGAGGTAAAGGATGGCTGTAATTTAATTTGGATGACTTTGGGGATGATGTCAAAAGTCCGTTGTAGGAAATTTGTAATCACTTTGGGGTGTGAGATTGAAGGACGCTATGTGTTATTTGTGAACTTTTAGGTGGTGGGACACTTAGGTGATGCTACACTAAGCTTCTTAGGGGTTTGTGTTCTATGGTTACTTATAGTAATGATCGTGTGCACCTACTAAACATTACAGCAATCAAACAACTAGTAAGAAAAACCTTCGGAATGAAAATATGAATCTGGTATCCTTAGCAGCGGTTACTATTTATTTTAAAGGTTGTACAGTCCTTTCATTTAACATATGGAAACATTCTATGATATCCAAGGATGTATAAAATGGGCTAGTTTTACTGTATGAGATCCAAACAAAACTTCACGACATACGATTTAACTTATGTTCCATAACCATAATTGTTTTACCCAAATAACAAGTGACATAAATCAAAGTCCAATTCCAGCCCCAAGAATTCCACCTTTTGTAAAAACACCAATCTCCACCACTTACCCTGTTATTCTGCCGTATCCGATATCTAAAGTTCGCGGCGATATTTCATTGTAAGGTTCTGATAATGAACGTCTCTCGGCAATGACGTCTCGAAGCTATTTTGCTGCCAATCTTTGTCATTCACTCAGATACGATATTGAGGTCGAGCTGCACATGTATTTTCACACTTAGCGAGGAATTCGCAATGCAAAACTGCGCTAGACTGCGATAGGAAAACTGGAATCAGTTGGAAATGATCAAAGTAATTTAAATGTTATTTTTTACTAGAGTTTTTGCACAAAGTTATAAAAATTTGTTCGTGTATTGATGACTTGTAATTTAGATTCGTCCTGGAAGTCTTGAAGTGGCTTGTAAACTAAGTAACATGGCTGTGAAACTAATTCCCAATTTTCTCTAGTAAAATAACATAACCGTTTTCTTATATCATATTTTTAAATTATTCTGGGTTCATTGAAGAAAAAAAAATATTTTTGTTGGCAAGTCTTGCAAGCACCGGTTAGGATGTAGAAAGTTATTTAGATTGTATTACGATTCTTGTATTACAAATCATCAGAACTACAATGAAATCGTCAAGTTTTCATTTAACCGTTGAATAAACTGTATTTTTGTCCATCACACGTATGTTATAGTAATTTGTTGGAGAACATTCCAAACCATGGTTTTGTGGCGTCCAATACAAGCCTTATAAAGCAAAAGCAACAATAGTTTATATCCCTGTGATAAACGACTAGGGTGTCCTAATAATACTTGATTCGAAGATCGAGAGTGTTAACAATGTAGGCGAAGTGAAGAAAGGAATTGTGATTTGTGAATGAAAACAAAGTTAAACGGAACGGAAGATTGTAAGGATATTCACTATAATAATTCCGAAATACGTTTTACTCTTCACAATTACAAGTCAGAATACCTACACATCACACCACGGAGTTGTTCATTCAACCTCTCAGCCCAGATTGCGAAGCCCGCGGTGCCTCTGGAGGTTGGTTCTGGTGGCGACGTTTTTCACACCTCTTTTGACAGCGGCGCCACTCAGACATAAAGATAATCGTCGTATTGTCCGACGTAATGGTCGACAATCTTGCGTCCATCCGTTCGCAATACAATCCGATTTTCGTGCTTACTTTCCCATTGTTTCTTTGCATTTATGGGGAGTAAAGTGTATCCATGTCGGTGTGTCGGGTTTAATGTATCACGACCGTGCCACACGCCCGACATTCACAACTCCGACAAAGCGTATCTCCCAAAATTTTAACACCCCATGCTTTTAACAGTTACCACTTCGTCAAGGAATTCCATTCTAGGATTTTACTTTAGATATACAAGTTAAATGTTCAGCAAAGAAGATCTTAAATGTTTGAGATCCGACAAAACATATCTCTGACACAAATCTCTACGAAATTGCCTTATCAGACTTATTTTTTCAAAGCCGTGTGATGTATTTCAAAATGACCGGGTTATAGAAGAGGAAATAGTTATTTGTGCATCTAGTGAGCA